CCCCGTGCATCCTCCCCCCCCCCCCCTCCCCCTCCTTTGTAGACTATTTTGTAACTGTTTTCACCTTCTAATTTTCTGGGACTTCTTGTTGTTTTGGTTTGTTAGTTGTTTGTTTGGGTTTTTCTAATAATTGCATAGTGCTAATGTAACTCTGTCATGGTATTGATCTTGGAGACTGTTATGCGATGTAGATAAAGCTTGGGTGGTTTTAATTTTTTGTAACTTCAATGTTATTGCAGTTGTTTGTTTCATACACTTCCTACACTTTCATCTACTTAAAGGTTTATTTCCTCTGCAGCGGTGTTGACACTTGTGGAGATCTTCTTTGTGTCTCTAATGCTACCACTTTTCTTGTTTTGGTAACTTAGAAATGAGCATGCTATTATTTCAGGGGTCAGAAGAAATACGCATTTTAGAGAGTGTTGTCTCCTTGTTCTTAATCCAGTTGCTTTGTATATGAACTTTGAGTGACTCATTTTCTATATTAAGTCTAATAACAAATTGCCTGTCCTTTTATATTTTGTCTTTTTTTCATTTTATGACTTTTCACATTTATTTTTGAGAAATTTTTTGGATTGATTTATTCCCTCAACTAGGCTGCATTTTTCCTAATCAGTATTTATTTTGTGATGGGTGGGTACTACCTAAAAATACACTGCATATTTCCTTGCTAATTGGCTTGATATCTTTTATACATCTAAACAACTATGGAAGATGGGTAGAAGGAGATATCCTTGTAAATACTAAAAATCTGTCTGGATTTGGTCTTTGGTAACCTATTATAGGTGACCCTGCTTGAGCAAAAGGGGTGGACTGGATCTCCAGAGTGGCCTGCCTGCCAGCCTCAGCTGTTAGTAATTTTGTGAATGAGCTTCAAGATTTTAATTAGATAAAATGTAATGTTACAGTATTGCTTCCTGCAAGTCAGGCTACTAGAGCTGAGAGACATAGCTTGCATAAGAGTTACAGCCTAATAAGAAAGCCTACACATAGATTAGCTATTTAGATGACATGTGCTTCTTTTTTTTTTTTTTTTTTCTTTTTTTAACCCTTGGAATACTCATTTTGCATTATTTCCTACCTCCACCTGTTTTTGAAATAACAGGCTAGAGAATCCCTTCAATTAACTATGCATGTCTCATTTTATTTTATTTTTTTTGCACCTTGTAGTTAAGTTTCAAACTCTCTTGATAAGAGTACTCAAAATTTTAAAGTCTGTGTTAGTTATGCAAGACATTTTATGTTGAAAAATAGTTTGGACTCTTGTCTTGGTTAGGAGTTTATGAATTAATTGAACTAAGCATTAAATTCATGTAGGAGCAGCATACATATTTTTACTTTCTAGAACTCTTGCTGCTGGGTTTGTTTATTGTCCCTTTATGCAAGAGGTGTTCAAGTGTAATATAACCAATCTGAATTTGTTATGATGGTAACTACTAATAGTAATTCCACATTCATCCCTGCTATTATTTGCTTCTTATGAGGAGTTGCACTCATAGCTGCATGGACAAAATATAGTGCTATTAGTATGTAATTTATAGTAGCAAGAAATGGATTCACCTTTGTGTGGCAGGAGGCACAATTTAGCTAGTTAATGAATGGATAGTCCAATTTTTAGCTTACAGAAAGAAATGTTGTAGATTTCTTAATCTTGTGGTATTTTTTTCAGCTTTCCTATTTGTATCTTAAAATTCCCTTTCATATAAACAATGTAAAATGTTGCTTATGAACATGTTCCTTTAACATGTGGGGTTTTTTTTCATATCACAAGTTAAGCTGAAATTATAACATTTAAGTCTATTTCTATATGCTTAGGTTATATAAATGAGAACATAAATGTATTAGTACAGAATGACTGCATCTCTGGTAAATGTTTCTCTTTATCAGTCCTAGTGAACTATCCTTTCTTTTTCATGGGCAGTTGTTGTAGATGAGAATATTTTTATTGGTTTTGATTATTCCAATGCATTCTTTCTTACAAATTTCTGTGAAGGTCCCAGTCCACCAGTTCAAGTTTCTTCTGGTTTATTAGATGATCCTGTGCTAGAAAATACTGGAACTGGAGAACCTGCTTGTGAAAGTGTATCAAGACAAACTCTGGAAGCAAACACATCGCCATTTTCTGTATTCTCTTACGGTCTGGAAGGCAACCAAATCTCGGGGAACTTTGTGAATCCTTATGAGAATTCTGAGGACCTTGTAGAATATGTGACTGATAAGTGTAATGATTGGAATGGTCAGAATGGAATTGCTTTTGTAAACATGGATTCTTATGAGCCAGGTGATGGTAATAGAGAAGATCATGCTCAAGACGAATTTTCTATGGGAACAGAAGAAGCAGTTGTGTTTCGAGAAACAATAAATAAAATATTTTCTGAGTTTGAAAAAAGCATAGAGTCTTTCACTGACTTACAGCCTCAATTGTCTGATCTCAATCACAATGCTACTAGAGAATGTTGTGAAGAATCAGGACCAATGCCTTTAATGAGATATTTTAGCATAGATTCAGACTTGGTGTGTCCAAACAACAGGACATGTAAAACATCTGCTGAAGATCAAGCTATACTGAAAAATAACCTAAGTGATGCTGTTCATGAACTACAGCAGATAAAAAATACAGAGAATGTTGAAATCCAAATACCTATAGCAATTGCTAATGAGTTAAATGTCAGTGATGACCAAGGAAATTCACTTGAACTAGTAGTGAGACCTAAAATAAGAAAACAAAATACTTCAAACCAGTTGGAGAGAGAGAGGCTTCTTGATGAGGAGGAAGGGGAAAGTAATTCCTGGAGGAGAAGCGAAATTGATGAAGTTCAGCAAGGGAATGCTGACTGTGCCTTAAACAGCAAAGAGATGAGTTCTAGTACGTTCTTTGGCTCAAGAGGGCACGAAGGTCATCGGAAGAACACAGAACTAAGAAAAAATGCAGCAGCTCAAGAACGAAAAAATGTTCAGGAAGACAGCACTTTTTGGGATGAACTGGAAGGCTGCAGCAGACACTTCTCAATGGACCACAAAGACGAAGACAGGTAAAATTTAAGTTTTGTTTGTTTTAGTATTGAATCTTTTGTGTACATAATGCGTGAATCTGAATAGTTTGTTAGCAAATGGGTTGAACTCAAGCAATTTCAGAATATGATCAGATAACAAGATGCCAACTTTTCCTTTCAGTTTTTCTTCACCCTTCCTCAAGTCCATCTAAAGAAATGGGAATGTACATTCTTCTAGTAATGTAAAAAGCCTTTCCTTATGTTTAGGGCCAAAGTGTCTTACCACTAAGGAAGATTACTTGTTTATTTTATTTTCACTGAGCAGATGGAGGCTAGAGAGAGACAAAAGTTTGTTCAGCATCGGTTTTGGCAAATCGTGGGTCTTTGAAAGTTCCCTTCAAGACTTGTTATTTTCAGAATTTGTTCTTTTTGCAATCAAATGTCAATATTCTGCATTACAGCATATTTATATTCTTGTCTCCAGCCTTTTGAAAAAAATTATTCTTCCGTGTCATATCTAAAGAATAACTTGATAGGATTGCTTATAATTCCTTTTTTGATGATAGTTCTTTACACTAGTGTTTCCAGAGTGACTATTACAGTTTCAGATCTGTACAAATGGCTCCAACCTGGACACCAGGGTCAGTATTCGGGCTCCTCCTGTTCTGAGCTCTCTACCCAGAAGACGGATTAATTTGGATGAAATTTATGTTGATCAAATTCTACTCATATAGTGCTGGGTTAAGAACTGTTCACTGTGGATTGGAATTGTGTAACTGAGTTATTTGAGGTTGAAAGCATTTCTAATGTTCTGTTCATATACGGCAAATGCAGTAGTGTCGGGGTTTTTTTATTTTTCTTTTTTCCTGTTTTACTTCCAGTTTGCTTGCATCTTGTTGATTCTGTTCCCACTGCATTCTTAACGCAACATGTCTTCTAGATGTTGATGTGTTTTTTTTGTGTGTGTGCTTGCCATTAGGCTTCATAAGCTAACCTGCTTAGTGTAGATTGTGTTTCCACTGCTACTATAGAGAGAACAGCATGAAAATTAGTCTGGATAAACTCTTGTCCTTAAAATATCTCACAGTCCCAATTATGAAGGAACAAAATCCTTAAGGGATTATAAAATGAGGTAGTAGTCTTAATTTTTTTTCCCCCTTATTAAATAGGAGGGTTTGCAAATAAATCTTTTCCTTCCTTGTAAGGTTTATTTTTTGCAAGTTTTTGTTACTGCATGATCTTTTCCACTTCTGAAATGCTGCTATTAGAAAATTAAAATGCAGTGGAGAAAAAGGAATTGCTTTACATTTATAGCATGACAAAAAGAAGTACAGATTGCTTGTTTGAAAGTGACTATGTTCATCACGATGGCAATAATTAAACCACTAAACAGACAGCATGTATGGTCTTTAATTTAGAAAAATGTACTTCGTTTTTAAATCCTCGAAAGATTTGTCCCCATGAAGCAAATTGTCAATGGTAACTCTGTACAAAGGAGCATTATGCTTTTCTGCTCTTACAAGGTAAAGTTTTATGTTTAAAGGGTTAAGCCATATTACATGTTTAAATATCAGGTTAGATCCTGCAACTCACTTTCACTTATGTCCAATTCAGGGAGAAACTCAGCCTGCTGATTACTGCAGTCTGAGCCTTCACCTCACATTTTTGCTTCAATGAGGTGCCTAGCTCTTATGGTTTTAACATGTAAAAGCTATGTATGGGAAGGAGAAAGTCTTGTGTATTTGTTAGAACAACATATGCTCTAAGTTGAAAGGATCATGGTAGGTCCTCAGACGGCAGAGGTGGTGGGAAGAGAATTGTATCAATTGGCTTCCTTCATTTAGATCATATGGCAAGTACAGGCCAGTTCAGCCAGGGGAGAGACTATTCTCAGAAAATTCATGTGCAGATGCTAAGTTAACCTGTTTTGCTTTTGACAAGTGACAAGTCTATAACTCTTTAACCATTAAGTGATGTTCTGCATCTCTGCAGAATTGTGCACAGTTAAATCATAGATCCATAGAATAGTTTGGGTTGAAAGGAACCTCCAGAGATCATCTAGTCCAACCCCCCTGCAATGAGCAGGGACATCTTCAATTAGATCAGGTTGCCCAGAACCACATCCAGCCTGGCCTTGAATGTCTTCACATGGTGCATCCATCGCTTCTCTGGACAGCCTGTTCCAGTGTTTTGCTACCCTCATTGTAAACAACTTTTTCCTCACATCCAGCCTGAATCTCCCCTCTTTTAAAGCCATTATCACTTGTCCTATCGCAACAGGCCCTGCTAAATAGTCTCTCCCCATCTTTCTTATGGGCCCCTTTTAAGTACTGAAAAGCCACAATAAGGTCTCCCTGGAGACTTGTCTTCTCCAAGCTGAACAGCCCCAACTCTCTCAGCCTTTCCTCATCAGAGAGGTGCTCCATCCCTCTGATCATTTTTGTGGCCCTCCTTTGGGCCCTCTCGGAGAGCCTATTCTCAGAAAATTCATGTGCAGATGCTAAGTTAACCTGTTTTGCTTTTGACAAGTGACAAGTCTATAACTCTTTAACCATTAAGTGATGTTCTGCATCTCTGCAGAATTGTGCACAGTTAAATCATAGATCCATAGAATAGTTTGGGTTGAAAGGAACCTCCAGAGATCATCTAGTCCAACCCCCCTGCAATGAGCAGGGACATCTTCAATTAGATCAGGTTGCCCAGAACCACATCCAGCCTGGCCTTGAATGTCTTCACATGGTGCATCCATCGCTTCTCTGGACAGCCTGTTCCAGTGTTTTGCTACCCTCATTGTAAACAACTTTTTCCTCACATCCAGCCTGAATCTCCCCTCTTTTAAAGCCATTATCACTTGTCCTATCGCAACAGGCCCTGCTAAATAGTCTCTCCCCATCTTTCTTATGGGCCCCTTTTAAGTACTGAAAAGCCACAATAAGGTCTCCCTGGAGACTTGTCTTCTCCAAGCTGAACAGCCCCAACTCTCTCAGCCTTTCCTCATCAGAGAGGTGCTCCATCCCTCTGATCATTTTTGTGGCCCTCCTTTGGGCCCTCTCTAACAGGTCCATGTGTTTCCTGTACTGAGGACTCCAGACCTGGATGCAGTACTGCAGGTGGGGTCTAAGGAGAATGCAGTAGAGGGGCATAATCACTTCCCTTGACCTACTGGTCATGCTTCTTTGGATGCAGCCCAGCATATGGCCAGCTTTCTAGGCTGCAAGCACACACTGACAAGTTATGTCCAGCCTTCAATCCACTAGTAGCCCCAAGACCTTCTCCTCAGGGGTACTCTCAATCCCTTCCTCCCCAGCCTGTGTTCATACCAGGGGGTTGCCCTGAGCCAGGTGCGGGACCTTGCGCTTGGCTTTGAGCCTCATGAGGTTTGCATGGGTCTACCTCTTAAGCCTGTCCAAGTCCCTCTGGAGAGCTGTCCATCCCTTGGGTGTGTCAACGGCATGAAAATCCTAAGTTTGGAAATTTAAACATTCAGTGTTCTTTCTTTGTTCAGTATTAATTACTTCAGATTTATTCTCTTTTCTGGTTTGAATTAGTAGCTTTGTGTCAACTTTAAAGAAAGCAAATTTGACTAACAACGAAGGAATATTATTATTGTAAACAGTTTTGGAAATTCCTGAATTACAAAATAGAAAAAGATTTGAATATTTGGGCTAGTCTTACAGTACATTTAAACTTTTTTTAAAAAAAAGTTCTAAAATGTTAGCATTCAGCTTTAGTTGGTACAATATAAGATGCATTAGACTGTATAGCAGAGTTTTTAACAGGTATGATGTCTATTGTAGTTCTTTTAAAAGACCCAAAGTTAGTGAATATTCTCACCTCCATCAGTTTCTCTAGTTGTCAAAATTGTGATAGAAAAATATATTCCTGCTTCAGATTAAAATGCTTCCATATAAGCTGTGTCTTGATATTCTTTATTCTCGTAAATCTCTCTGTGTATAATATGCGGTTTTGCAAAAGTACTTGTAATTCGTTAAATGGCAAGATTTCTTGGCATTTACTTGTAATATTAGACAGAAGTGAGTTTGTGGGGGGGGATAACATTGGTAGCAACAGACATACTGTATTTAGCAAGTTGAAAACTGAGCTGCAGATGTTGTGGATTGCTGTGTAAGATGTGCTCTAATAAGCACGTTTGCATATTAGTAGTTTTTTATCACTCTTTGAAAGGACATAGCTACTTGGCTGCTTTGAATTTTGGTACCTGTCATCTGACACTGGGTATGGAATGAATCTTCTAAGTAGCATTACTAAAGGTAGCAGTAGATAAATCCATTCTTGTTGGCAGAATCTCAAGATCAGTTCTGTTTAAGCTGCCCACCACATGTTGTTTAAGCTGCCCACAACATGTTATTTACTGCCCTTTTGTGTGTGATGGCTGAACAAATTCTTTTTGAAAAGTTCCCTGTGATTTATCTGTCCAGGCTAGTGAATTGTATAATTTGCAGCAAGTCATCTGTTGTATCTTTATATGATTTTTTTTTTTTTTTTTTTTTTTTAAAAATAAGGACCATTGTATGTGGCTTAAGGGCTATGAGAGCTTTTAAGTTTTGTCTGGCTGAGAGGTAAGGCTGATATTGCTTATTGTTTGTTAAGCAAGCACTGGTTTCTCAGTGTCATTGCTGCTGTTTTATCTTTGTGTGCTTGGAGAAGGACGTGTAGAGTGGGTCTGGGCTTATTTTAATGAGTTTTCATGTACTCTGAAGATAGGGGGGGAAGAACAAAACACTTTGCAAAGCGAGATGGGCAGAGTTCTTAACTGATCTTTTTTCAGTCAGCTCTTTACATATACTTGCCTTGTAGTACATCTACAAATATTACGTACTGAATTTCTCCTAGATAAAAACAGACTATATTGAGAGCAGTGTTCATAGAAAGTAGGAAATCACAGAATACTTCTGTTTATTTCCTTTCCTCTTAAGCAGTGTTTAAATTTACACCCTGTTTCCTTGTTTAAATTGCAGCTCAGAATGCAGTGATGGAGAATGGTCTGCAGCTGCACCTACCTATTTTACTGCTACAGAAAAAGACCACTCAAGTGATGAGAGCTCGGAGACTATCCCAGGCAGGGACAAATGTGAGGCTGAACTGCAGAACAGCAGCAGCAATAGTGTAGAAGAGGAGAAGAAAGACTACTATTCACAAGGAGGGTATGGTTTTATTAGCTAACTTCCTGTTAAGTTCTGACATATAACATGGTATCCACCTGACACATTACAGAGTAACAAACCCTAAAAGTAGTTACTGTACTATCGATAATAATTTGCCTACATTAAAATTATCTGAATGCTTATATATATTTCAAATCAAGGGGAAAAATAGCATGTCATGTAAACAATTCTATTTAATGAAATAATAGAAATAGAAATATAATAGAAATAATGAGAGGACATTGACATGTAGTGTTAATAGGGATAATGGACTTGATGTACCGACTTTAAAAAGCTGTATTATGCCAGTTAATTGTAAAGACATACATGTTGCATACACATCTTCTGATACTTCTTAATACTCCTCAGCCATTCCCCCTGGTCTTGTCATTACAGACCCTCCTGAAAAGTCTCTCCTGATCTTTCTTATAGGCCCCTACTAAGTACTGAAAGGCCACAATAAGGTCTCCCTGGAGACTTGTGTTCTCCAGGCTGAACAGCCCCAACTCTCTCAGCCTTTCCACATCAGAGAGGTGCTCCATCCCTCTGATCATTTTTGTGGCCTTCCTCTGGACCCTCTCCAATAGGTCTATGCCCTTCTGTTTGGGGGCCCCTGAGATGAATGTAGTGCTCCATGTGGAGTCTCCTCAGAATGGAGTAGAGGAGTAGAATCCCCTCCCTTGACCTGCTGGCCATGCTGCTGGGGATTCAGCCCAGGACACAGTTGTTTTTCTGGGCTGCAAAAGCATACTACTGGCTCATGTTGAGCTTCTCTTCAACCAAGACCCCCAAGTCCTTCCTCTCAGAGTTGCTCTGAATCGCTTCTTTATCCCCTCCCTTGACCTGCTGGCCATGCTGCTGGGGATTCAGCCCAGGACACAGTTGTTTTTCTGGGCTGCAAAAGCATACTACTGGCTCATGTTGAGCTTCTCTTCAACCAAGACCCCCAAGTCCTTCCTCTCAGAGTTGCTCTGAATCGCTTCTTTACCCAGCCTGTGTTTGTGCTTGGGATTGCCCTGATCCAGGTGCAGGACCTTGCACTGGACCTTGTTGAACTTAATGAGGTTGGCATTGGCCCACCTCTCGGGCATGTCAGGGTCCCTCTGGAAGGCATCCCTCCCTCCAACGTATCAACTGCACCACACAGTTTGGTGTCATCAACAAACTTGCTTAGGGTGCATCAGTCCCATTGCCCATATTGCCAACAAAGATGTTGAAACTCATGAATCCCAATACTAACCCCAGAGGGAACACCACTTGTCACTGATCTCCACTTGGACATTGAGCCATTGACCACAAGTCCTTGAGTGTGACCATCCAGCTAATTCCTTATCCACTGAGTAGTCCCTCTGTCAAATCCATGCTTCCTTCACTTTATAGATGAGGATGTTGTGTGGGGCAGTGTCAAATGCCTTGCACATGTCAAGTAGATGACATCAGCCACTCTTCATTTATCTACCAATGCCATGACCCAAAGGCCACCAAATCTGTTAGGTACAATTTGCCCTTAGTCACTGAGCAGCGACAGGATGAGGAGCAACGGCCATAAACTGAAACAGAAGTTTCACCTCAACATGAATAAGAACTCCTTTACGTTGGGGGTGGCAGAGCACTGGAACAGGCTGCCCACGGATGTTGTGGAGTCTCCCTCCCTGGATACATTCAGAACTAGCCTGGACATGTTCCTGTGTAACCTACTCCAGATGGCTCTGCCTTGACAGGGAGTTGGACCAGATGATCTCCAGAGGTCCCAGCCCCAACAATTTTATGATCTTACCGGATCTGTACCTTACTGACTTCTGCACCTTCAGATTCCTTAGATGATCTTGAACCTGATCTATTCTACCACGAGTAGTAATTCATTCTCCCAGTCCCCACCTTTGCATTCTGTGACGTGGGTCATTTTGGTTGGTTTAGATGCTTTGTGGAAAGAAAAAAAAATAAAAAAAGCTAAGTTTGGGTTTTTATAAAGCAATAAGCCATGCCTGTGTGTTCTTTCTGTTTCTTCCACTCTTATATAGACAGTACCTGTTACCAAGTAGTCCAAATCACTGATATTGCTGCTTTTAACATTGCTTTCTCCAAAGTTTTGGAGAACTAGTGTGGCTTTATGAAAACATTATCAAAACTCATCTGTTCCAGAACAGTTATTTGAGGGTTTTTTTAATGTGAACAGCCTGCAAATGTACACATTTCTAACATGATTCCTGTTTATTTGCCCTTTAATAAGGAAAGTGGACTTGCAGCCCTGTGGCTCTAAACATCCAGGTGATTTGTGCTCTTCTAGAAAATACAGGAATGAGGAATCTTACTCCTTATGCAAATAGATTCTCTTGTGAATAGTATCTTCTTGCATTTGGGCCAAGTTTCCCCATGAAGGCTGTTGCAGGGTGTTAAGATAGCTTTTCTTTTTAGCAACGTTACAAACTTCTAGATGAATAAGAAAATCTTCAGTACCAAACTTACTAGCCCTGGCAGGGATACTGCCTGTACTAGGGAAAATGCAAAACAAGGTGCTTACTGTACTACTGGCGTAGAGCATTAGACAAATAATTTTGCCATAGAATTATGGTGTTACTAGATTCTGAATCTGGAGTTGGTACTACTGGGAATTTCTTTGGGTTTTTTTACAGCAAATGATAAATTCGTAATATGAGTCTGTGCAGTCTGGGAAACATGCATCTTCTACCCTTGCAATATGTGTAGCTTTTACTTGCATATGTTTGTAAATTCTGCTAGCTCTTTAGTTTTAGCTTTTCATTTATTTGTTTTGAAGGGAACAGAAGTTATTGGAGGAAGGAGAGATTCCTATGTTACATTACCATAGAGAAGTAGAAAATATGAGTGAAGAAGAAACTAATCTAATTCGTGATTTTGTGTATCCTGGATTCTTCCTTTTGGATGGAAATAATAATCTTGAGGATGATTCCAGTATGAGTGAAGATCAAGATGTGGAGTGGAGGTATGCCTTTGATAAATTTCTGCATTAATTTCAGAGGGTTTGTAGTTACTGTTTTGCTTTTTATGTAAGATGTCAAATATACTCATGGCTATCAGTATGCACATGCTTCAAAGGCTGATTAAATCTGAGGTTTAAGGCTTAAGGAACTTCAAGTGCTGTGTGTCTTCTGATGAGAGAAAAAGGGTATAAATCAGGCTGTGAGAATCTGAGAAATTCTAGTGCACTAAATATTCAAGGTATTGCTGTACTTTTTCAGTTTTCAAGGAGGTAAGTATAGTGGAAGTATAACAGAAGTAAAGCAACAGAAATGTAATCGGTATTCAAGTCAGTGCTGTTTTATAATTGGTCTTTCCTCTTTTGCAGCTGGCATAGTTTAGATGTTATAAGCCTATTCTATTTCTTTTGAAATGCCATGCGCTTACCTAGTATCATAGTTTTGAATTCATGTCTCAATTTTCTGTCATAAGGTTACTGAAGAATATTGCAATATATTTATTACAAAAATTCTGTAAATACCAGGAAGAAAGTGATCAGAGAGACTTGCATAGCCTTACTCTAGAATAATATAATGCGTTTGTTTAACAGTGAGCTAGGCAGAATGCTTTCCAGTGAGATTTAACACTTGTTCTCTTAAAAATACTATAAACTGCAGCGTAGGCATAACGAAAACACTGATATTTGCTCCTTGTGAAGCTATATTGTGAAAAAGCTCAACAGGTACTAATACATGAAAGTCCAAGCTAGAAGTAAAGCATGTGTTCTTACAGCACCAGGAAGCAAGCTAGTAAAGGAATTGTAGGAAAAAGACAAAACCTGGTTTTTTTCAGTGCTGGAGGTTAGCCTGGGGAAGCTTCCTAATTACTCAAAATAGGAAGGAAAATCCTTCTCTAATAATACATTAAGTTTTGTCTACTGACCATATGCAGATCTGTACATGACTTTTTGTCTGGTTTAAGATTTGATATCTGAACGTTGAAAGCAGAACTTGATGCAGCTGCCAAGTTATGAACTGTGACATACATTGTAATCAAAATCTGAATGCTAATTGCAAAATGAGCTTAACATACGTATGAAATTTATTAGTTGAACTGTAGGCCCTTTTACTCTGGAGCAGTCAATGGTGAAAGTTGCCATCATGTTCTCCTGAAGTCTATATTGTCTTTAGTGTACCAGTGTACTGGAAGCAGGTGCTGTTGGGCAGGCTGCAGGGTGGCCTCTATAACAAGAGGCTGGGTCTGCCCTATGTAGGACACAGTTGGTTATAAGCTGGCTCCAGTGGACCCACTGCAGGGTGGTACCTCTGGGAAAGTGTATTTCAGAAAGGATAAACGATGCTGCACAGCAAAGTAAGAGAGGAGTGAGGATGACAGAAGCAACCCTGCAGACACCAAGATGAGACAGTAAGGGGAAGGAGTTGCTCCAGGCGGTGGAGAAAGGATTCCTCTGTAGCACCTGAAGAAGACCACAGTGGAGCAGGTACATATTTGTTGAAGGAACTGTGCCTGTGGAGAACCCAAGCTGTAGCAACTGCTGAAGGACTGCAGCTTGTGCGAAAGACCCATACATGAGCATGTTTATCCTGAAGGACTGCAGCCTATGCGAGGGACCTACACTGGAGCAGGAGAACTGTGAGAACAAAAGAGCTAAAGAGAGGAACTTCCGTGGACCGGCCACAGCCCTCATTTCCTATTTATCTGGATTGCTTGGGGTGGGGGAACATAGAGGAGTCAGGAGTGAAGAAGTGAAGAAAGGGAGGGCTAAGGGGAAGGTGTTTTAATTGTTGTCTTTCAGCAAAACCTATTAGTTAAATTAAAGCTCCTCTTTGAGTCTGTTTTGCCTATGATGATGATTTGTGAGTGATCTCCCAATCTTTATCTTGACTCATGAGCTTTTAGGCCTATTTAAACACCTGTCCAGTTGAGGTGGGAGAGTGAGAGAGCAGCTGGATGGGCAACCAGCCTAGGTCAACCAAACACAACCACCTTATGTGAGCATAAGCTCACAGCTGTTAACAGGTCATGTGTAGTGATTTGATGTATCCAGCCCTCATGTTGTTGCTATTTACTTTGGAATGAAGACCATGTTTTCCAACTCATGTTTTTCAGAGTGCTTAATGAGTTTGGTGATGGCCTAGGACTTGCTCAAGCTGTTCCTGATGCGGATCCTCTCACACTTGAGGCACTAGAGGGACGCTTACAAGAAGCTATGGAGGTATTAAAATATTCTTGTTGATACGGTATCAGTGATGTTGAATCCGTTTTCGGCATAATCTGAAAATCAGGAGAATTGGCGAAAAATTACTTTCCTGCTTTAGCTTGAACTTTCAGGTCTGCAAGCTTGAAAATAAATGTTAGAGGTTCTTCTAAATGATGTAGTGCAAGAAGTCATTCATCAGTGCTACTTCTCTTAGAATATGTATTTATTTCCTCTTAAAGGAAGAAAAAGATACTGATTTCTACCAGTATAAACATGCGATTTAAATTATTCTAGGAATGTTGCCAAATTCTCTTCATGACAAAGGAAATTTCTTACCTGTATCTGTGCCTGTGAGTTGTCTCAGCTTTATTTTATTGCAAGAGTACAACTGGATGTCTCATATTTTTATTCCTCAGTAGACGACTTTTCTATTTGACTGTCTTGACTCCATGTGGTTTAAATTAAAAATCAAAACAAAACTAAACAAAGCAAACAAACAAAAAAAAAACCACACAGAAGCGAAGAAGTCTTTTATCTTGTTCTAATCTCGTTTCATCTATCTAACTTTGGATAAACCCGAGCATTCATTACAGAGAACAAGCATGGTTATGATCTTTGTCTTTTTTGTGTTGCACGACATTGGTTACTGTCAGAGTGAATACAAAGCTAGCCGAAATTCAGTTCGATGCAGTGTGACTATTCTTGTACTGCCAGAAATCTCCCCGCTGGGTATTTTGTCAAAATAAGGGTTAAATGATGTGTAGACTTACAATATGGTGAATGTTTTGTGTGTGACATAAATTTAGGGACAGCAAGGGGCAGTTTAACTACTAGCTCTTGCTTAAAAGGGGTGAACAGCGTAGGCTGTATGTTATAGCGTGCTTGCAGACAAAATACCAAGGGTGCTTTAAAGTGTTTTCTAAAGCTGATTCTCAGGGGAATAATCGTAAGATTTTTATTTTTTTTTTTTTTCCTTCCATGGATATAGATATGTACACAATCAGTGTTTTTGTGAATAAACTTCATGGGGATTTTCAAGGGGTGGAAGGGTTGTTCCCTGAAGTTGGCAGTCATTCAATTTCCAGGTATTGTGCATCCCTCAAGTTATATAGGAGGTCAGCATTATTCATGATCAAGTACTATAGGGTCTTATCCAGCTGTGTAGGATCTTGTTAGCATTGCTCATCTGGAGACACTTCAGAACTGTTTATTAATGTGTACGAGGTCTGTTGATATCCTACTGTAAAAGCAGTATTTTGAAGTTGTGTGGAGAAAATTCCTTGTCTCTTTTATAGCTGCTGGTTCTCACTACATCAAAAAGCACAGAACTACAGAAGAAGTTGATCTCCTTTGCACCAAAGCAAGAGGATCTCTGTAGAGAGGCGTAACTAATCTTATCTTTTTTTTATCTACGTTAACACTTGAAAAGGAGGCTAAGGTTGTTTTTGGCTCTGAGATTTTCTTTCTAACTACCTCGTAACAACATTTTCCTAGTTACTCTGTCAGAAGAAACATTCAGCCTCTTGTCAGGCTGACCTGTAAAAGCAATCCTAGGTGGCTATGTGCATGACTGACTGAGAAGATGCTGCAATTATGTTAGTGTCACCAGAATAGTGTCATTGAACACACCTGGCAAGCAGGTAGATGACTAGAAAGGTAGTTATGCCCTGGTACCTGTGGAACAGGTCACTGTGTATGTTGGGCAAGAGGGAAAGTAAATTTTCTGAAGTAGTATTTGTGCTTGAAATTAGCACTCATATTTCTGAAACTTTATTGTGGGCATAGAAGTCTGGCATAATTTGAATTAGTCATCAGAAAATGGTGGCCATGTAATAAAAGGAATAGCTGTATTGACTAACTAAATCGTCAACACAGGTTTTGAGTGAAAATTACAAATATTTCTTCCAAATCTCAAGCAGAATGTGTAAAGCACTATTCTTTCCAGTATGAAAATGCTTATTAAAATTCTTCAGAAAATAAGAGCAAGGATTACTCAAGAACTGTGCAATATATCTGTTGGGCAGTACTGCAAATATTTTGGGAAGTTGAGAGAAAGAGAAGAAAAGGCTCTGTCATGTCTCAATTCTAATTATTTGCTGAATTAATTTTAATTACTTGCTGAGATCCTATCTTTTAATGACCAGATAGGATGAAGATATAACGTTTTCTGTTTTCTAGAAAGTGAGACTTGTAAATGGCTAGTTCAGTGTAATCTTTCAATAAAATATGATCTGACCCTGTCCCTGACTGGATTGACATAGTCTAGAAACTTGTGTTCCTGGAAGGACATTTCGTACAGCTTTTAATCACAACTTGCCTGGTTATCAGGCAATTGTACATGAAAATGTAGAAGTGTGTTCCACAAATCTAAAAATATAAAATCTTTCACTGAAAGAGTAAGTATTTCATAGTGTTACAAAGTTGGGTTTTTTTCTGAACTTAATACTATGGTCACAGTGCTTGCTCAGATATCCAAAATGTGGCTTACAGCATTTTCAGGGTTAAAAAAACCAAAAAACTCTTCAGAAAACAAAAACAAACAAAAAACCTAAACCAAAAACCAAACCAAAAAGCAACCCAAAACACAATGGTTTCTTTTGTGATATAAAGAGCAAACTGAACTATCTTTTCAAGTTTGGGTGAAAGAGATTGCTGAAAATGTCTTTGATTTCTTCTAGAAAATGCAATTTCCAATCTCCTGTTCATAGAATTTATGGAAAGTGTTTGTAATATGACAATTTTTTTTCTGTAGTTTGATACAACTGTATGTATGTATCAAGTAGGGAGTTAGAGATCACTGTGAGCAGCATCTTAGTGTACTAAGTTCAAGGTGATCAGGCTTGATCACTCTTTGAGGGAAGTAAGAATTGGAGCTAGTTGTTTTTTCTTCCTCACGATTGGCATTTTATGCTCCTCATCTCTCTCCCTAAGAGTAAAGAAAGTGATTTCATCTGTTCTTAACATCTTTCCTGTTATTTTTGGGATCAGGACTTGTTCTGCTTTTGCTAGGCATTTTTCTGCAGGATGATAGGATTTCAGTTTTACCAGATACCTTTCCTGCTTGTTTTACAAATTTTGTTCTTACCTTCCACATCTTGCTTGCATGCATGTTTTCTTTCTCTGAACAATTACACTGAAGCTCATTTGCCACTTTGCAGTTACATATTATCTATATGTTTATACTCAGCTTTCTAACAGGCTACTTGTTGCCAGTTATGCTATTTTAGTAGTATTTAGGCCTGGCTTTAGGGCAAACAGCTATTTCTTCAATCTTGCTAGACTAATTCTACCTATGGGTGTAACAGACCTCTGCTTTTGCTTCAAGTTTAAAAAGTAACCCATCTGCTACCTGGTAGAAAGTATTTTTGCACCAGAGGTTTTGTAATGGAGAAGTCTGAGCTTTCACTAGCTTTAGGTAGTATTCTGACTTGATGAAAAGATTGGGTTGAGTTTAATTATAATATCATTAATAATCTAATGACTGTGACTTTATTCAACCTGTTACTGATTTATTTAATCCACATGCTTAAGTTTAAAAAAATGCTCTTAGCTAAAATAGTAGATTCATGAACCAGATCTTTTTCACATATAACAACATTATTTATTATGACAGCCTATAGTTCAAACTTTTCTGAAAATTTCCCTATCCAGCAAGCTCATTTAGTGTAGCTGTTAAACACTTGAAAGGGATGTGATGTAATGCATCCAGAATTCAAGTGTATCTTAACTGGGGGGGGAGAGGAGAGAGGAGGATCTGTCCTAATTGTGACATTTGAAGGAGAGAAGTAGTGAATGTATAAAACAGTTTTTCTTGTTAAAAAATGTTCTGTGAGACTCTAGGATCCTAAAATGTGTGTGTGTGATCCTAAAATGTGTGTAAAACCTGTATGTGTGATTTGTATTTACTTCCATTTGTTTTAAAGACATTACTAGCTGGGAATGTTTATTTTACTACTTTAGCACTATAGAACAGGAGCATCAGAACAAGAAATATGAATATTTCTTTTACCAACCCACAGACATGAGGAGCTCAAACCGCCATAGGCTATGGTACTCCTGGTTTTAGCAGTGTCTAGCATGTGGTTCATGGTACATGGAGCAGTAAGCATTTGCATAAATGATAAGAGGAAAGAAATAAAGGTATCTTTGAAGTTATAAATATATCTTACAAAAGTTGCAAAATGGATGCTTTGGTTTTGAAGATGTGATGTGGATCAGTCATTGTGGGGCTTTCTGTGATGTCTCTTTATTGTAGCTTTCAAAATCAAACAATACAACGCTTTTGTAAATTGATTTCTGTTTGTGAGTGCTAATATATAGACAGAAAAGTTTGACATGTAGGTAACACTGCTTCCTTCTGCCTGGGGTCTTACCTAATTTTTCCTGCTGTAGTAGGTAATCTGATTAAAAATGATATTTTTACCTACAGCTTATTCTCAGATCATTGCAGCTGTAGCAAAATACCATTACAAATACTAAAATCATCTTAATGTTAGGATGGCAGTATCATCTGCTGTAGCGGAAGTGTATGTTTTTAAACTGTTAAATTGGAGGAGTGTACCTGTTTGGCATTGTATAATGCACTAGGGATAACTGTGCCAGGATTTTTTTTTTTTAAATTAGCAGATATCTAGGTAGAGTATATGTGGCAGTAGGAGCTGTAAATATTTGTCTTGTTAGCTCAGTCTCTCTCTGCCTGCTACATGCATTTGACTGTATGTGTAAACATACTAGTTTAGATCTGTGGCGGGATGGTTGCCTGAGCTCCTTTGCCACTGTGATGAAAGTGCAGGCATGTTTTCAGTCTATGACTCTTGTAACTTTCTCTAAAGTTTAAGAGGAGATATTGCTGAAGGTGTTTGTAAAATAAAATGTTTCTCTAATATATTTTGGGATATTTAGTTAAGTGTACTCCCAACATTACAAAAATGTTAGGTTATCTTAAAAATCTTACCAAGGGAGTTTTGTGGCCATTAGAATAAATTTCATGTTGATCAGAACAGTATTTGGGCTTGAAGGGTGTGACTGATTAATTGCTTCTGTGTTCTTGGCCATTCTTATTCAGTTTCAGCTTGTTATGCTGTTGGCATGGGTGTATCTAGTACATCTCTTAATGAATATAACCACTATGAGTTGTGTTACATTTCTGTCTATTGGAGGTCCTTTCAGTGTCTTAGGTGGTCGAATGTATGATGTTTACATCAAATCTGCCTGCTGCAGCATTGGAGTCTTAAAGATTTTGTATGGTGAAAAATTTGAGTTTCAAATGAGATGAATTCAGAGTGCTGTGTCTCTTAAGTCATTAATAGAGATGAGAAACATCTATGTGGATCCTGAGGTTTTTTTTCTGAAAGCTTGCACTGGTTGTGTAGCTGAGGTACTTAATATTTTTGTTTGCACCTGAGTAATTTGATAGTTGAAGCTAGGAAACACGCTAATGAGGCTTTCATTTTCAGAAAGAGAAATGTAATGACAGTTTTGTATTAGCAAGCTTTATTACATTTTTGACTTGCTACCATTTCTGAAACTTTATAAAAAGAAAAAAGTTCATTAGAGAACAAGTTGTGACTCTGTCCTGATGCTTTATGAAGGCTTTAAAACCAAGCTATTAGTGTTTTGACCTTCAGTTTCATCTCATTCATTATGAAAATAAAAATGATGTAATGGTTAGTGTGACAGACATTAACTTCCTTTTAAGAAAGTAATACTATTAGAACTGGGTTCCTTTTCTTGCTTGTTCGTTTTTATATGGAATGTTACATTTGTGAGTAAAAAAACTTAGTCTATGCTCACCCTTTTCAGACTGCTCTGGCACATTTGGAGCTTCTTGGATTTGATGTTGAACAGGCTCATCCACCGGCTACTAAAGAAAGCATAGATTCTCTGCCATGGATTGTCATCACAAATGACCAAAATGGTATGGAAAAGTAATTAAGAATTTCCACAAAGTTTATAAGAACAAATGTAGCTTTCTGAAATACATAAACACAGTTTTAAACATACTGTGCAGCTGGCAATGCTGATCTGAGAGCTTTTCAATCTTGAATCAGACTGGATATAACATAGAAAAGTAATTTAACTCAACTGGAGTAAGAGTGATTGTATATTTTAATCATTAGGGATACTGTTGATAATATATATTATCTTAGATTAACCAAGATAATATTAATGTGGGGTTTTTTTATCATGGGTGTAGGTCAAGAGCAGCGCTGTATTATCTGTTGCTGCGAATATGTGGAAAATGAAATCGTAACGGAGCTACCCTGTCATCATTTGTTTCACAGAACTTGTGTAACGCTTTGGTTACAGGAAGTAAGTACTACAGGATTGGTGGTGGGTTTGTGGGGTTCTTGGGTATTTGCATTCTTTTGGAAGGAACAGTTTGTAACTTTCTGAAAATATGGGATGAAATATGAAGAACTATGGAACCAAATTCTAGTGCAAGTGAGGAAAGTAACTTATATATGTACTCAGCTGTAGAGCAATCCCTTGAATAGAAGGGGTATTTTTGTGAGGAAAAACATGGTCTGCTTTTCATAAGGATGAGAGGTGGATGAGTTATAACTTGTTTTGATACCAGAAAAGCTTTCTTTACTGTACTCATACCTTGAAGTAAAGATTGCTTGCTTTTCTCTGCAAAGAGTGAAGGATCTGTTCCCCTGCCAGAATGTCAGGCCTCATTTATGGTGACAGCTAAGGCTGGTGTGAAGAATAGTGGAATGCATGTAGATTAATTTAAAAAAATTGTTTGGTAAGTCTATACTGTATTAGATTTCATTTTAATCATCTGTAATCAGTTTCCTCCCAAATATCTTACGAAGGCTTACATCATGTTGAGGCTAGACTAAAAGAACTACAATTAATGAATTGATATCTTCTTTTCCTTGCACTTGCACTCTCATTTACACTCAGTCTAAGCCTGGACTTGGTAGTTGTCAGTGAGCCTACAGTGTAACACTTCAAGAGGTACAAGGAGACTAATTGATTCAGACTATAGAGATCAGATTAGAACACCTCTAGCATGGGTTGTTGTTGGATTTATAGTTTCACTTTATAGTTTTAAAAAAATGGTTTATTGCCATTTTATTATTTCTTTTATTATATGTTCTGCCTCTTTCTGCTGTCATAGTTAAACTGCTCTTGCTGAAAACTAGGACAAAATACTTCCTGTTAGGTTTGGGCTAGTTTATTTTTAATCCTTGCCTCCAAAAAAAGTAAATTCCTGACCATAAAATCAATTCTTTGAGGAAGACCTTTCAGGGAACCTGATATATCTGCTGTGTAACTGGTGTAAAAGCAAAATGAAGCTTTTTTTCGCAGATTTTTAGCTGTCCTTTAGCTCCAGGTGGCTATCCAGTCAAATTTGACTTTGAGACAGTGCTGTTGTGAAGACATTAAAGACTTCATAAATAATAACCTTTTAGCTTTTCAATAGAATTGAATGAAAATTCTGCAAATGACCTAGATTTTTTTTTTTTTTCCTCTCTCTGTGTAGTCAGGAACATGCCCAGTTTGTCGTCATGTGCTTGCACCTATGCCTCCTGAAACAGCTGCTGCCACTGTTTCCTTCCTACCTGATCATGACTCAGCATCTTCTGCTCACAGTGTTACAGGAACTTCAAACTAGGGTCTGAAATTCAATCTCTGCTACCACAAATAAAAGTGTAAATTTTGTGTGTTTTATTACAATGTGAATAAATTGTGTATAAAATATTATATGTAAAGTACTATCTAAATTCTATATTTTAGTTTAGGAAAAAGGTGCAAGACTTTTTCTGAACTCTTTAGGCTTACAATAATAGCTTAATTTTTCAAACTGCAAGTTAAAAGAATGTGTGGCAGCCTCGTTTGAGCAGAATGTTGCTGGTAACTGTAATGTCTAAAGCTTGTATTATGATAACTTGTCTCCTGTATGTGGCACTTTGTTCAAGTTCTTGCAGCTGCAGTGCAGTTGCATCTTATTAAATGTGTGCTTATCAGTTTTTCATAATAAAGTGTAATTGAAATCTCACGTTTGTGTCAAATGCAAAGATGTTTTGTGATGCCAGCAGTGGCAGAATTTGATTTCACTGCATAGAGGGCAACTCTCCCACCTCTCCTTTCTTGCTGTCCCTTCTGAATAGTTTATAGCCATCAATCACAGGATTCCAATCATGGGATTCATCAAATCATAGAATCAAAGACTCTTTTGGGTTGGAAAGGACCTTAACATCACCTAGTTCTAACCCCCTGCTATGGGCAGAGACACCTCACTCTAGACCATGTTTCTGTTAATAAATGTGATATTGATTTAATAAGATTTGATGGCAAGGTAGACTCAAATATTTAGCGCATAGAGGGCAGGTCAGACAAAAACTGTCAGGGAGACCCTCTGGTGAGTCACGAGGTTCTTTAAGAACCCCCTTGCTTTCTATAAACTCCTCCTCAGAGAGGAGACTAGGTGTGGCTGGATCCAAATGTAGTTTCAGACTTGGTCAAAGGTTTATGTCTAAATGATTATATATGTGTGATCAATCGTTTATAACACTTAGCTAAGATTTGAAAGTTTAGCATGCTATTAATCTGAGAAGATGTGGCTACAAGCTGCAAGGGCAAGGAATCTCCCAGCCTCAAGGAGTAATCTTGAGAGGCAACCTTACTCAAGAGGAGAGCCTGGTGCACAGCCCCCTGCCATGTAGGATTGCTCAGTGGGTCTGGATTGTCTCTAGTTAAGGAGTGAGATAATTGACTCGTAGCCGTGCTTGTGTACTGAGTGCAAAAACTTGGCTTTGAGTTAGACCTTGGCCAGGACTATGGCTGGTGAGGGGGCTGGTGCACATTGCTCAGATTAGCCATTGGCTATTAGGTTGCTATCTGTGTCCGCTGAATCCACTTTGAATCTGATGCAACCACCACAACCAAGATGCATCAGTTACCACCACTGGTGGTTATCACTCGAACAGTATTACGGGAAATAAAAGTCAAGCTGTGGGTAAGAGCACACCACCACCGTGCCTTCTGTGTTTGCTTTAAACATTTAATCCATTTCTCCGTTGGGTCTGCTAAGACATGAAACAGCCTGTTGTGTCTGAAGTATCTTAATTCCTCAGCTTTTTTTCTTCATGTGCTTCACCAGTTCTCTTTTGGTCCTGGTTTGGTGTGCGAGTGTTCACTTGAAACTCTTGCTGGAGGCAGTTTTTCATTTTTTTCATCTGCCTGAGTTCACCAGGTGTGACTTTCAGAACTCTGCACCACTGATTCCACTTGCTGCCTGGCACTTAGTGCACTATTAGCTCTGGTGCTTTTTTGACAGAGCCTCATCACATGGTGCTGCTTTGGCCCTAGCACTTTCCATGAATTTACATAGTCTACATCTAAAGTAAATCACTTGCTTTGTGTGTGATGTCATTTCTTTCCCCTGCACCCCCAAAATAAAATTCTACTGCATTAGTATTGTGTCTTAGCTTTCCAGGCTTGAATTCACTGATCATCACGTTGACTTTTTACTCTGTGGGAAATGATGTGCTCAGTATCTGATGAAACTCAACCATTAACAAAACAACAAAAAAGAAGGTACAAACCAAAGAACCATAACAAAACACACAGACCCTACACCTCAAAGAAAACGCTTCTCAACCTAATAGCTACCGGGTGGAAACAATCATTTTTCCATTTTGAACAAATAGTCTATTTCTGCTCTGAGCAGGCTGAAAATATTTTCTTTGTGTTGCTTTTAACCTGTTCACTTGAATTTCATTGAGATGGTGAGATAGAGGCAGCCTTTAGGATGAGTTGTTAAATCTGTAACTATTTCCAAGATACTACCTTTTTTGTGCATTTTTAAAGATATAAAATCTCCCTTACTATTCAATTTTATAAAGAATTGCAAAGTTTTATTGTGCAGAAAGTTGGGTGTTGCAACAACAGAATTCTTCTGAACATGAAGATGCTGTAGTATTTTGTGAGGTTCTTTTCCTACAGAGATGTTTTACCAGTTTTGAATTGAAATAATAGTGAAATACTGCCTAATGGGAACAGGGAAGTGGTTATAACTTGTTGACATGATATGATTTGATATTTATGATTTGTTTTGCATAGCATGATTTTGCTCATTTCTTCTTTTGGGTTGCATGGTTGTTTTTTGGGTTTTTTTAAGTGGCACTAGTAAAAGGCCTATTGAATGATCTTTGTAACTCCAGTTTTTCCAGGTTTTTTTTTTTTGTTGGTTTGTTTTTTGGTTTTTTGCTTGTTTTTTTTTTTTTCTCAGATCTCCACTGTTTAAGTATTGCTTCTTTAAATTTAAACCCTGAAAACTATTTTAAAATCTTAGTGATACTGCTTGCATATATACTTTTGATGTATGCTCACAAAATTCAATTTGTTCTTATTTGAACAGAATATGAATACAAAGTAGGGCTTGCTGGGGCTGACAAGATTTGTCTAGTACATGGCTTCCTTGAGTCATTGTAAGTTCACAGGCATTTTTGTCATGGTAGCAAATGGGTCAAAGAAGGAAGAAGATAATACTCTGAGGAATAGGCAGATGTGTGAGATGAGAAGCAGTACTGGGAATTTGAGGGTGTTGCCCATTGGAGGTGGGGAGGGGTGTCTTTTAAAGGTCTCCTCCTAGCCTGTTCTGCAAACCTCTTCCAACAGGTTACAGTCTCACCCTAAGACCAACAGATGACCTTTCTTTCCCCGTACAATGGCTTCCCATGACTACAGCTTCTTCTGTTCATTTCCCTTGACAGTGACCCTGCTTTTATTCTTTTGGCCAGTCTGCTGCTGGATAGAGGAAAAAAAGAGGCAGAGGCTGTTGGCTCTAATTACAAACCTGGGATGCTGGTGGACATGAGTGGCATTCTTATGAATGGAATTATAATTTGTAGGCTTTTAGTCATTAAAGATCAAGAAGATTTGTTTATACTGTAACCTCTCTGTAAGACACAACTATTGCCACTGAATGAAGTATACTGCTATTGTTTGTATAGTTTGTTGATTTTGCTCAGAAAGCCAAATCAACAACTAAACCAAAGAAAAGTAAGTTTCTTTTTTGATTGCCCAGCTGCTCTTTTACCTTGATTTCCTGCCACCATCCCTCCCCCCACCCCTTTCCTTTCTTGTTGAGGCAGATGTAATGAGGTTTTGTGGAATATTGATGGTATACAAAGACAGCCTCCTTTAAACTGAGGCTTGATTGATGGGGAGGGCACAATTAGTTAATTGTAGAACAGCTGGTAAATACTAGTGGATAAGGCTCCTTGTACTGTGTTATTCAGGAAACAAAGAGGCTGACAATCATCTCTGTGTAGCCTTTGAATGTATAAACTTGATGTCAAAAGTTACACCAGTGTTTGAGTCCTGAAGTACCCCTGACTGTTACTACTTTATGATTGAAATTTTGTCCAAACTAGCCAAAACAAAATTGGTACTTGTCAGAACCAAGGGAGTACAAGGCTTCACCATTAGCTCATCTCATATTTCTCGCATGCACTGTAATCAAATAGTAATTACAAAGTTCTTTTCTCTGTGTTTGGAAGCAAAATCTATCAGGTGATTTTAGGTAGAGAGAGAGGAGTGTATTTGCTGAGAAAATTATTTATTTGGTATAAATGTAATTTCAGTATACATTTCCAAAGTATATTTCCAGATGCATTATCTTTTGCTAATCTTTTGAACTTGCAACAACATCAATTCTGAAGAGGTCTATCATATTTTAGCTAATTTAAGACTATTGCCATAAGTTACGCATTAAAACAGCAACATGAGGATGACACTTATTCTTTCATAAAACAAATGTATGCAGCTGTGGGAATCCTGTTGCATATTCACCCTTTAACAGGGCGGTCTCTCCATGGTGGCAGAGTAACTGTGTGAGCACATCCGAACTGATGCTGTGAATTTAGTCCTTGTTGTTACAGGTATCCTATTTTGAAAAATGTTAAAGATGGGAAAAGAAAAACAAGTTTTAATTTATCTGCATGGTTTTGGAATCCATGCTTTGTACCTAGTGTTTTCTGTTGCTCAGTGCTTTAGGATATTCATAATGGAAAACAGATAAAAAATGTTGGTTGTGCGTATTCCTTTAGTCTGTGCCACACACAGACAAATAAAATACATAATTACTTAGGCAAGAGAAGGAATGTTACTATATGGAGAATAAGCCTTTATTCTTTATAGGCTAATAAGCAAAATCTTTATTTACAGATCTTTGTTGTCCTGAAGTTCCACATAATTGTGACGTTTTTCAGTGTTAAGCCTCTCTACAGATAGACAATTACCTTGCTCTAAGCCATATATCATAAATAATGATAGACAAAACAACTAATGATGGTTATTAATGAGTAAGTATGAGAATTTAATGATGTCTTGGGGCCAAAATATAAAAGACATGATTTTCATTTATGGAAGGTGTCCCTGCTCATGGCAGGGGGGCTAGAACTAGGTAATCTTTAAAGTCCTTTCCAACCTAAACCATTCTATAACTCATTTATACTAGAGTCACTCTGCCCTCCTGATGTGTAGGAAAATGCTTTCAAGAAGAAGTAAAGGAGAATTAGGTAACAACAAGGATACTGTAAACTGGATTATAGTCTAATGTTTCTTTAACAACCTTTAAACCACAGTAAAAATAAGACCTTTCTTCAG